GTATAAAGAAGAAAATCTAATGACATGGCCTCCTTGTTCACCTGATCTGAACCCCATTGAGAACCTGTGGTCCATCATCAAATGTGAGATTTACAAGGAGGGAAAACAGTACACCTCTCTGAACAATGTCTGGGAGGCTGTGGTTGCTGCTGCACGCAATGTTGATGGTGAACAGATCAAAACACTGACAGAATCCATGGATGGCAGGCTTTTGAGTGTCCTTGCAAAGAAAGGTGGCTATATTGGTCACTGATTTGTTTTGTTTTGTTTTTGAATGTCAGAAATGTATATTTGTGAATGTTGAGATGTTATATTGGTTTCACTAGTAATAATAAATAATTGAAATGGGTATATATTTGTTTTTTGTTAAGTTGCCTAATAATTATGCACAGTAATAGTCACCTGCACACACAGATATCCCCTAACATAGCTATAACTAAAAACAAACTAAAAACTACTTCCAAAAATATTCAGCTTTGATATTAATGAGTTTTTTGGGTTCATTGAGAACATAGTTGTTGTTCAATAATAAAATTAATCCTCAAAAATACAACTTGCCTAATAATTCTGCACTCCCTGTATTACTCACGTAAATTAGAGCAGACTCAAAACTGCTCAGTGAAGGCACTCGGGTGGTATAATCCCCACCTATGGATTCTTTGCACTTCCTGCAGGGTGAGCCGTATACGTAAAATCAAATAAAAGAAAATGTATGTACTTTACTTTTTTTATTTAAAAAGTAAATTATAACCTTTGTTTTAATTTTTAAATAATGCAAATATGCTTTTTATCATTGTATTGTTAATTTTATGTGTGCAACAACTGTTTTATAATAACTTCCCTGTATTATCTATATGCTAATTTTATGATGTCATTTTGGCAGGAATTTTAAATTTAAAGTACTATTACACACTATATAAGCTTATGTATGTCAGGTATGCCCCCCCTCTTTCCTACTATCTACTTGAAGAAGCCTGTGAAGGCGAAACGCGTTTAGATATTAATAGATTTTGTTCTTAATTTTATAATAAAGATATCTTATTGGCATAAAATACTTTATTGCCATTTGCTTTCTCCTTTACCTGATTTTACATACATTTTCTTTTATTTGATTTTACGTATACGGCTCACCCTGCAGGAAGTGCAAAGAATCCATAGGTGGGGATTATACCACCCGAGCCCCTTCACTGAGCAGTTTTGAGTCTGCTCTACTTTACGTGAGTAGTATACTTTACTTTCTTTTAATTTTGGATTACATACAGTGAGCACTATATATTTTATTTCATTTTTTCCTCTGGGTCGTATTACGTCAAATTGAACGCTGAACCCACATCAGATATTCAACTATCAAAATTCACTCCATATATCCTTGAAGTGGGGATCATTCCACTTTACGCGAGCAATATCAGAGCTGATCCTAGCTCTGAAAAGTGTAAGTAAGACTGATTTTATACTTTTATATTTATTTTATACACCGATTTACTGTGCCATTGGAGTCCTGTTTTTATTTTTCTCTCCACATATGCTGAATTCTCAATATTTGAAGATACGATCCCATCTACACCCTAAAGAATATTCCTTTACAAGTGGGACCTACCCTCACGGACTGTGATAAGCCTATTTTATTGGACTATTGTTTTATTACTTATTTTATTCTGTATTTTATCTGACTAATTTAGTCTTTTATCAAGTTTTAGGCGCATCCTTATATCTCTGTTTGTTCTTGCTATCTGTTACCATTAGGGGATTATTGGGGACTCCCCTTTGAGGAGTGCTGCCTTTCCTAATAATTTTATTGTGGCAATTTAGCGCTGATTTTTTCTCTTTTTCCACATCTCTGCCACTGCCACCACCACTCTTGTCAAAAACCTTAATTTTAAAGACTGTAAGAATGGTGTCTCTCTGATTGAGTGCTTTCATCATTCCCTCTGTCTTGCACACAGTGACTGCATGTATCGCCCTGACCCTCTGCACAGGGACCTGCAAGATAAAGTGCTGAGTACTTACTAGAAAGGGTGCTATACATTAGGGGCTGCTACTTACAGTCTCTCTGCAGAGATGCAGATTTATGGATCTGAGACCTAGCAGAGAAATGTGTAGCTCTGCTGGATGAAAACTAGGACTGGAGCAAAGTGTAAGGTAATTGGTCATTTTGGGGCTAAATTATTATATATCGTATGCATTGTGGTGCGAATGAAAAAATAACTCCCAAATATATGTTTTTAGGAGGGGGAGCAAATTAGGATGTGAAATAGTCTGTGTTAAAGATAAATAACGAGGGGAGAGCTTTGCATGGTGAATGGGTACAGCTGGTCGGTTTTTACCAATCAGTTGAGAGAATGAGTAGTTTATGCTCATGAGATAATAAATCCCTCGGAAAATCACTGTGAGCGTTAATTAGGGTGCATTCTCTGAGGATCTATCTGACCATCAGTGAATAAATACTGGGATCGGGAGCTGGATACGTGTAACACACGGGAGCCAGTGGATTTGTAACCTACGCTGAGAGGTACAGTACCATGAATAGAGCGGGTATTATCGGATCACATTTCAGAGTTTCACATTTCTCTCATTAGACTCAAAGCACTTTACAAATATACAAACACAAAGACAGAAAAGTTAAGAGTTTCTGATGGCCAGATGAGGGGACTGAATGCCTGATGGAAGTGGTGAGTCTTTAGTTTTTATTTTAAAGACTGTAAGAATGGTGTCTCTCTGATTGAGTGCTTTCATCATTCCCTCTATCTTCACACAGTGACTGCATGTATCACCATGACCCTCTGCACAGGGACCTGCAAGATAAAGTGTTGAGTATACCAACATGATCCTGCAAGGTACAGTGCTGAGTATAACAGCAGGGCCCTGCAAGATACAGTGCTGAGTAGACAAGCATGATCCTGCAGGGTAGTGTGCTGAGTAGACCTGCAGGGTCTTCAAGGTACAGTGCTAAGTAGACCAGCAGAGTCCTGCAATGTACAGTGCTGATTAGACCAGCAGGGCCCTGCAAGGTACAGTTCTGAGTAATAGTCCTGCAAGGTACAGTACTGAGTACACCAGCAGGGTCCTGCAAGGTGCAGTGCTGAGTATACCAGCAGGGTCCTGCAAGGTGCAGTGGTGAGTAGACAAGCATGGTCCTGCAACGTACAGTGCTGAGTATACCAGCAGAGTCCTCCAGTGCTGAGTAGACTAGCATGATCCCGCAAGGTACAGTGCTGAGTAAGGGTCCTGCAATGTACAGTGCTGAGTAAGGGTCATGCAAGGTACAGTGCTGAGTAAGGGTCCTGCAATGTACAGTGCTGAGTAAGGGTCATGAGAGGTACAGTGCTGAGCAGACCAGCAAGGTCCTGCAAGGTACAGTGCTGAGCAGACCAGCAGGTTCCTGCAATGTACAGTGCTGGGCAGTCCAGCAGGATCCTGCAAGGGACAGTGCTGAGTAAGGGTCCTGTAAGGTATAGTGTTAAGTAGACCAGCAGGGACCTGCAATGTACAATGCAGGTAAGGAGGGATCCGTATCACTGTAGGTAGCCCAGTGGGAGTTAAAGTCAAATAGCTGCTGCCAAGGACTGAACTTCCCACTAATCTCAATAACTATAACCACTACAGCTAGCTAGTACCCTGACATCCTCTCTCCTCATTGTTAAGAGTCAAACCATAGAGCTTAGCTCATTGACTGAGTGTCAACCCGCAGTCTGTGCACTTTCAGTAGTTTAGTGGATATTTCCCTTCAATTGATAAGCAGTCTCTACAAGTGAAATCTTCCAAATTGCCATGGACACAATTCTTATCTTCAGAATAACATGTTAAGTGGACAGGAAGTCCTCACTGTGACACATTGATAAGATAACTTGTTTAGTGGACAGGAAGTCCTCACTGTGACGCATTGATAAGATAACTTGTTAAGTGGACAGGAAGTCCTCACTGTGACGCATTGATAAGATAACTTGTTTAGTGGACAGGTAGTCCTTACTGTGACGCATTGATAAGATAAGTAGTTAAGTGGACAGGTAGTCCTTACTGTGACACATTGATAAGATAACTTGTTTAATGGACAGGAAGTCCTTACTGTGATACATTGATAAGATAAGATGTTTAGTGGACAGGAAGTCCTTACTGTGACGCATTGATAAGATAAGTAGTTAAGTGGACAGGAAGTCCTTACTGTGACGCATTGATAAGATAAGTTGTTTAGAGTACAGGAAGTCCTTACTGTGACGCATTGATAAGATAACTTGTTTAGTGGACAGGTAGTCCTTACTGTGACGCATTGATAAGATAAGTTGTTTAGTGTACAGGAAGTCCTTACTGTGAAGCATTGATAAGATAAGTTGTTTAGAGTACAGGAAGTCCTTACTGTGACGCATTGATAAGATAAGTTGTTTAGTGTACAGGAAGTCCTTACTGTGACGCATTGATAAGATAACTTGTTTAATGGACAGAAAGTCTTTACTGTGACGCATTGATAAGATAACTTGTTTAGTGTAAAGGTAGTCCTTACTGTGATACAATGATAAGATAAGTTGTTAAGTGGACAGGTAGTCCTTACTGTGATGCATTGATAAGATAAGTTGTTAAGTGGACAGGTAGTCCTTACTGTGACGCATTGAAAAGATAGGTTGTTTAGTGGACAGGAAGTCCTTACTGTGAAGCATTGATAAGATAAGTTGTTTAGTAAACAGGAAGTCCTTACTGTGACGCATTGATAAGATAAGTAGTTAAGTGGACAGGTAGTCCTTACTGTGATACATTGATAAGATAAGTAGTTAAGTGGACAGGTAGTCCTTACTGTGATACATTGATAAGATAAGTTGTTAAGTGGACAGGTAGTCCTTACTGTGACGCATTGATAAGATAGGTTGTTTAGTGGACAGGTAGTCCTTACTGTGACGCATTGATAAGATAACTTGTTTAGTGGACAGGAGGTCCTTACTGTGACACATTGATAAGATAAGTAGTTAAGTGGACAGGTAGTCCTTACTGTGATACATTGATAAGATAAGTTGTTAAGTGGACAGGTAGTCCTTACTGTGACGCATTGATAAGATAACTTGTTTAGTGGACAGGAGGTCCTTACTGTGACACATTGATAAGATAAGTTGTTTAGTGGACAGGAAGTCCTTACTGTGACGCATTGATAAGATAAGTTGTTTAGTGTACAGGAAGTCCTTACTGTGAAGCATTGATAAGATAAGTTGTTTAGAGTACAGGAAGTCCATACTGTGACGCATTGATAAGATAACTTGTTTAATTGACAGAAAGTCCTTACTGTGACGCATTGATAAGATAACTTGTTTAGTGGACAGGAAATCCTTACTGTGACGCATTGATAAGATAACTTGTTTAGTGGACAGGAAGTCCTTACTGTGACGCATTGATAAGATAACTTGTTTAGTGGACAGGAAGTCCTTACTGTGACGCATTGATAAGATAACTTGTTTAGTGGACAGGAAGTCCTTACTGTGACGCATTGATAAGATAAGTTGTTTAGTGGACAGGAAGTCCTTACTGTGACGCATTGATAAGATAAGTTGTTTAGTGGACAGGTAGTCCTTACTGTGACGCATTGATAAGATAAGTTGTTTAGTGGACAGGTAGTCCTTACTGTGACGCATTGATAAGATAAGTTGTTTAGTGGACAGGTAGTCCTTACTGTGACGCATTGATAAGATAAGTTGTTTAGTGGACAGGTAGTCCTTACTGTGACGCATTGATAAGATAACTTGTTTAGTGGACAGGTAGTCCTTACTGTGACGCATTGATAAGATAACTTGTTTAGTGGACAGGTAGTGCTTACTGTGACGCATTGATAAGATAACTTGTTTAGTGGACAGGTAGTCCTTACTGTGACGCATTGATAAGATAACTTGTTTAGTGGACAGGTAGTCCTTACTGTGACGCATTGATAAGATAACTTGTTTAGTGGACAGGTAGTCCTTACTGTGACGCATTGATAAGATAACTTGTTTAGTGGACAGGTAGTCCTTACTGTGACGCATTGATAAGATAACTTGTTTAGTGGACAGGAAGTCCTTACTGTGACGCATTGATAAGATAACTTGTTTAGTGGACAGGTAGTCCTTACTGTGACGCACTGATAAGTTGTTTAGTAAACAGGAAGTCCTTACTGTGACGCATTGATAAAATAACTTGTTTAACTTAACTTGTTTGACAGGAAGTCCTTACTGTGACGCATTGATAAGATAACTTGTTTAGTGGACAGGTAGTGCTTACTGTGACGCATTGATAAGATAACTTGTTTAGTGGACAGGAAGTCCTTACTATGACGCATCGATAAGATAACTTGTTTAGTGGACAGGTCGTCCTTACTGTGACGCATTGATAAGATAACTTGTTTAGTGGACAGGTCGTCCTTACTGTGACGCATTGATAAGATAACTTGTTTAACTTAACTTGTTTGACAGGAAGTCCTTATTCAAAAACTTTATTGAATTTACTTTTATGGACAACACTTATAAATTAATACCAGATATTTATTGGTTAATTTATTGTAATTGTTAACTTGTCCCTATTGGAGGTGGTATATTGTAATCACACTATGCAATTAAAAACGTATTGATTTGATACTGTGCACTTTGGCACCCAGGCTTGACAAAACCCCTTAGAAGATCGATACATAGCCAGGTCTACATATTGGTGGATCAAAAATTCCTGGTTAACACTATTCAGGTGTTTCAACTCTAATATATATATTTGCATTTTTAAGGACCAGGGGGAAGCTTTGAAGACTGCACCTAGACCTTTGCATTTACAGTGTGCAGGTTTCCTTACGCAACCTTTTATATATATATATATATATATATATATATATATATATATATAGTTAGAATTTAGGAAGTGACCGCTCCACTAACACCAACTCTAACTAAAATAACATAAAAGATGTATAACAGGAATAAATGTATTAGGGGAAAATACTACCATCTTCGGTTTCTGGAGACTTGATCTTGAGTCAGTTAATTGATTATTTTCCTATAATACACACATTGAATGTTTGTTTTTGTCTTATTTTGTACCTTTCAGAATTATCAATGAATGACTACATTCAATCCAAGATGGGAAACATGAGCCCAAACATGAGCTTCTCCTACACAGAGTTCCTTCTCCTCGGATTTCCAGAGATCTACGAGTTCAGACACCTACTTGTTATCCCATTCCTTCTTATATATATAGTGACCCTGCTCGGAAACAGTCTTGTATCCTATGCTATTTGGGTGGATAAGACTCTACACTCTCCGATGTATGTACTCATTTCGACTCTTTTGGTTGGTAATATATCATACACCACCACGGTTATGCCAAAGTTCCTTCTGAGTATAGCATTTCAGCTGAACCAGATAACTCTGTCTGGCTGTCTGAATCAGATGTTCTTTATTTATGCTGTAGGCATCTGTGAATCTAATATACTTTTACTAATGGCATTGGATAGGTACGTGGCCATATGTAAACCACTACGCTACCACAACATTGTAACTAATCGACTTTTAGTCCAACTGTTCATCATTGGCTTGTTTCGTAGCACTTTTCTAGGCTTACTTATAGTATTTTTTGCCTCAACCATAGAGTTCTGTAGATCAAACATAATCCTGAACTTTTCATGTGAGAACATGAGTGTACTTAGTCTTGGATGTGGAGATATCTCCAAAATTCAACTTGTAGGGTTGGTGGTGAGGATAATCATCGTATTCCCTGATGGAAGTCTTGTCCTGGTCTCCTACCTGAGTATTCTCTATACGCTGATGAAATCCAATGTGGGTCAATCTTGGGGCAAGGCATGGAAGACGTGCAGTACTCATTTAATCGTGACCATGCTTACCCACTCCTGCGGCCTAGTATCTTCAATAATTTATAGAGTCAACAATTCACTATCACTCAATGGTCAGAATCTAGTCAGCCTGGTGAACTTCCTGATCCCGGCTACAATGGACCCAGTTATATATGGATTTAGAATGACAGAGATCAAGAGAAGTCTTACAGAAAGAGTGCAAAAGATGCATTTATGCAGAACAGAAAGACAATAACAATATTAAAGGGTTTATTCAATAAAAAGAGAACCAGACTAAAATAGCCAAGATGGAAAGAAGGAGCTGAACTGAAGTATTCTGG